TAGGGGATGATGATGCAAGATGAATCGTACAGTATCTGAAGCTGTACAAGGTGGTCCAAAATTATGAGGACCAAGACATTGTGTCGTTAAAAACGCATAGTAGCTTGATGGAACAAACAAACTTCAGGGAAGTGTTTGTAACTCTTATCTCAAAGTAATTCCAGAATAGAATTGAGATCTGCCACCTGCCGCGTTTACACGAGCCTTCAGATGAAAAGGGATGGCGCGTGCGGTGGTTTGCAACTAAGGCGTGCCAAGATGTTTCCACGCTTTCTGCTTGAACTTCTCAAAAGAGTGTGGGGCATTTTATTTGCGTTCTCTTGGATGTTCAAAATAGAAATATTATGATGGGTAAATGGTTCCTAAATTATTTTATATTTATAAATTAAATTAAATTAATTAATTATAAATTATATTATTATTTATAAATTAATTAATTATTAAATTATAAATTTTTAAAAGCAATGAACTCGAATTTGCTATTTGCAGAATGTTGCGTTATGATTGGGTGCCCTGTCCTATAAGTCCCAAGTAGAACATCGGGTGGATTTCTATCCACGAGTAAGTTGGAGCTTCTAGAGCGCCCAGCTGGATTTACGTCAATATTTCCATTCTAGGGGTGCGAAGGTCGACAAGAAGAGAGTGAGTTTCTGCATTTGATAATTGTCCTGGTGGTAACTGTAACTTTCACATTTCCCTATTTCCATCTGTGGTGGTTCCGAACTCATTGAAGCGTTCGAACGTTGCCCATATACGAGCTTCCCCGCCACGTTGAACTGCAGCTATATGCAACGTGCTAGAACCGCTATTGGCTTAAATTTGAGAACTGACGTGCATGCCGCAACGTGGGATTTCACTAATTTTAAGAATCGCGTGATATTTGATTTGATAGAAGAGCGATATTGTACCCCATCACATAGGGCGCAGAAAAGGAGATGAAAATGGAGAGTCGGAAAAATGTGGACATGCGTGCACACAGTGTCCTCATAAATTTTCCCACCCTGCAGATTCATGTGTCACCTGTCGTCCCGTTGATCATCGAATTGCTCGAGCGGGCGCCAGCAACGTCTCCATTCGTCCCTGTCGCGTGCAAGAGTTGTCCAGTGGACCCTCCTCGCTCGAGGGACACGAAGTCATCATATCCTTCCTTCGCTCGAAGACACGAAGTCCATCATTCCTTTCGTTCAGAGCTTTCGTGAAGAAGTCTGACCATCGGGCCGGCGGTCGTCCAGGTGTTCGTTTGACGTCCCGAGGGATCCAGTCGGTAACCGCTCTGGTCCAACGGTCATCGCAGAATCGCATGACGTGTCTCCAGAACCCACACTGAAACTTCAATTACTGGCAACTATGTCAGCGTCCACTATCTTCGATCTTGACGTTTCGTAACTCCCGAATTTCACCTCTCGACTCTTGCGTGTACACGTGTTACTCCAAGCATGTGTCTCTCGCGGCAGCCTTCACAGGACTAACGCCCGCAGGGAATAACGGTCGAGGATTTCCTCGACCATAGCTCTCTACCATGCGAGAGTAGTGCCGAGAGTGAACATCCGCGCGGAGAGCACAGACGGCACGCCCATGGCGAGTGTGAATGTCCGCGCGAGAGATCGTGTCTGACCGGGCAGAGAATCCTCGACGTGCCGTTGAGGAATCCTCAAGCGATATTCACCCTGTATACGCCGGCTCGTCCTGCCTGCGCAGAGTCCAAGTCTCTGAGGCGTAGGTTAGGGCAGGAAGGACAGCGGAATCGAAGAGGTGGGCACGGAGCCGGATGTTCTTCGTCTTCTTCACTACTCCCTCGATGTTCTTGTACGCTCCCCAAGCCGCTCGTTTCCTCCTGCTCAGCTCTGGAGCTAGATCGTGATTGCTGCTAGGTTCATACGATATTGTCCACTATTGCATTCGTCCTCAGCCATCGCCAGACTAATGTTCTCATTCTTTTCTTTAGTAATTCATTTCTTTCATGACTCAATTTGTGGAGATTAGAGTATATATTTCGTCGGCACTGACTTGACGAAACATGTTTTCGAATGCGTGAATTGAACGCGCAAATGCAAACACATCGCTGCTTTAAGGACGAGACAGATGAAGTATCATAACCTTTTGATAGCTTTGTGGACCGTAACGGTTCCTGTTAACTGCTTTCTTTAGCGTCCTGTGGCAGCTCTTTGTGTGTGGTTAGGTTCCATAGAGTCATGTTACGCGCCAGTAACACGTCCGTTGGAAAAGCTACGTTCGTCCTAAGATTTCACACCTGGTAAGAGCTTCCTTCTCGACTTGACTGTAGTTTCTCATATCTGGAAGGAGGGATTCAGGATGGTGAGCAGTTACTTCGTTGAATCTATTCCTGCATCTACGTGAGTGAGAATCACTAACTGCACATAAGCCACACTTGGAGAGATTACTGGGATACCTGGGTCCATGGATACCGGTTTACCGTTCATCGCCAGAACAAGAAGAAAGGCATGGTAGTGTCGTCATTAGACCATATGAGTATCAAACTCAATGTAAAAGATGCTCTTTATAGCAAATAATTTCCATTTTGAATAATAATGACATAATCTGATGGGCCTATGCGCTAATAATTGACCCAGGATAAACTAACGCATCTACTCACTGCTCTGTCTTGTGGCATCCTGTATGAGGTGTGGTAGTACCTACTTGGTCCTTTTTTGTTCAGACCGTTTCAATGCTGATATCGCTACGTGCAAGTTACCTTGTTGTGGCCCCTTATTATATGTTCCTGCGCCGAATTTTTTTTTGACATCAACACACATTTAAAACAAAACATTATATACTTACTTTACTGCTATAGTATCTTACTCCTAGAGCATGCCTCAGTATCTTAGCGCCGGAAATTCCCTAAACAACCGCAAGAACCAATTCATTCCATGTGGATACTATACTTTGATACTTTGATACTTTGATGATCCATCTTCATTGGCGGTTTTCGCAATGTGGACCACATTCGCTCCATGTCTTTCTGCAATGTGCAACGGTCATCCAGTGAGGTAAACCTCTTTGTTTGAACGATTTTGAAAAAACATCAGACCAGCGAGTAGCGGGACGCCCAGGTGTTCGTTTGGTATCTCGAGGATACCAGTACGTAATTCTGGTCGTCCACCTGTCATCCTGGCGACGTATCACGTGTCCTGCCCATTTATGTCTTGCGGCAGCTACATAGAAGGATGGGTCTCGAATTCTTGATTCTCTTCGGATGTCGTTACTGCTTAGTCGTTGCTGCCATTGCATCAGCTTTGTCTTTTTCACCAGCGATCTTTCCAAAGCCCGATGAACGGTTCTCAGCGATTTGTCAATACCTTTGTTCGTTGCCCATGTTTCAGTGGCGTAGCATAGAGCAGGGAGCACGGAAGCATCGAAAAGATTGGCACGTACTAGAGGGTCTTGAATCTCGTTCGTCACTTCTCGAATTCTTGCCATGGCTGCCCACGCTGCTCTTTTCCGGCGGTCAATTTCATATTGCAAATCATTTTGCATGTTAATCTCGCGACCGAGATAGATATATGATTTGACGTTTTCTACAGCTACGCCTTCAAGGTATACTTCACCATCGTCGCACCACTGATTCCTCATCGTCTGCGTTTTTCTCATGTTCATCGATAGTCCAATAGCTTTTCCAGCTTCACAGAGTTCGTTCAGAAGTGAATTCATCTCTCTGCTATTGTTGCTTATAAGGACTATGTCATCCGCGAAACGTAGGTTTGACAATTTCTTTCCGTCTACCGCCACGCCTTTGTTGTCCCAGTTCAATCCCACCATGACATGGTTAAGAGCTGTCGTAAACAATTTAGGGGAAATGGTGTCCCCTTGACGGACTCCTTTTTCGATTGGGATGCGTAGTTTCCTGTCAAACATCTGAATGATCGTCGATGTCCCACTATTACATTTCTCTAAGACATTGACGTAGGTCGGATCGACTCCTGCATGTTGTAAGGCGTTCAGCACGGCATTTATCTCGACCGAGTCAAAAGCCTTAGTATAGTCAACAAAAGTGAGAATCAACGGCATTTTATATTCTTTGCATCTCTCGATCAGCTGTACGATCGTATGGATATTGTCCAGGCAGCAGAAGCCTTTCCTGAAGCCAGCCTGCTCAGGGGGCTGGTAGGAGTCCAAAGTATCTTCTAGACGATTCAGTATGATCTTGGTGAAGACTTTATAGACGATTGAGAGAAGAGCTATAGGTCTATAGTTTCCGATGTCCTCCTTATCGCCTTTTTTGAAGATCAAGACCGTCTTGGAACACTTCCATTGTTCCGGTATCTCACCCTTTCTCAAATAGTGATTGAAGTGTTCCGCTAATACCTTTTGCATTGTGATTCCTCCTGCTTTCAAAAGCTCTGCTGATATACCGTCTGGTCCAGGTGCCTTTTGAAATTTTAATGACTCGATCACGTTCCTCACTTCAGAGATTAGAATTGGTGGAATCTCGTCATTTGCAGGGCACGGCGACCTTGGAACAACTGTCGTTGACCGGTACAGCTTTGTATAAAAGTCCATTACAATGCTCTCGATGCCTCGTCTCGAAGTCGTTGGCCGTCCTTGATTGTCCTTGAGGCATGTCGTTTCAATGCGATAGTCCACAAAATCTTTTCGGCAGCATTTCAAGCTCTTCCTCTGCATTGCTGCTGTCATCAGCTTTTGTTTCCGGTATTCCTTTAGAGATTCTTTGACAGCTAAACGACATGCCTTATTGACAATCGACTTCTCCAGATGCGTGACTGTAGGATCTCTTCTGAGTTCTCCTCTGCGTCGGAGGAGATCCTTGGCCTTCGCATTCAATCTTTCCGTCCTCGCCACTTGGTTCTCTGTAGCAGCTTCCGCACAGCGAAGGAGGTTGCTATTAAGCATCTCATAATCCTTTGTGACGTCTTCTAACAACCTCCAGGATTGGTTATTCATAGCTGTTTCCAGAACTTCTTCGTTGTATCGTGGGAAGCGGATTGGGGGTCCACGGTGTGTGTCTCTTTTGAATATCCGGTCATTGAGCCGAACATTCATTCTGACTAGGCGATGGTCAGATCCACAGTCAAAAGAGGGCAGCACCGTCACATCCATCAGGCTCCACCTTCTGTTTGTGAAAACGTGATCCAGTTCCAAGTGAAGCTCTCCGTTAGGACTTTCCCAGGTCCATCTCCTGTTTTGAGGTTTGTCAAAAAGAGAGTTTCCATGATAGAGATTACAAGAGTACACAAGATCCAGAACGCGAGTACCATTATCATTTCTATTTCCTTCTCCGTGTTTGCCGAGCCTCCAGTTGCCATCATTTCCATTTCCAAGCGCAGCATTGAAGTCTCCGCATAAATACTTGTAATAAGACTTCTCTCTCTTGACTACCTCCTCCAGCTCATGGTAGAAAGCATCCTTTTCTTCTTCATCCGCTGAGTTCGTGGGGGCATAGCAGTTTACGATGCTGATCATCGCCTTCTGTCTCGTTTTCAAACGCAGCAGTGCGATCCGAGGACTGAGGATTTCGTGTGAATGTACATTCGATTCGATGGAACGGTTCACAAGGAACCCGACCCCTCCGGAGTTGCTCACGAGATTCTTCTGCCCTATCACAAGCAGCTGTCCCTCATCCATCTTTCTTGTAAACGCCTCCTTCGCCTTTGTCTCCTGTAGACATATGATGTCGTACCTAATTTTCCTCGACTGGTGAAGAAGGGTTCTCAAACTTGCCTCCATAGATAACGTTCGACAGTTATACGTACAGATGTCTAAGTAATCATTCATGCGTCGTTGTCGTAAGTGAGGTTGGCTGAATCCGGGCCGGTTCTCTTCTTTTAGCAAATGTCGTAGCATATAGAGCGGTCGAATACTCCTGAAGTGCCTTGCCGGGGCTATCCAGAGCCGCCCGTCCGATTCCTAGACTGCGTGACCGTCGGTGCCGTTGGCCGTTCTCCAGAGAGAACGTTCACCCCTTCACCACGTTGAGGTGGCACCATGAAGGGGATTGTAAAAGATATACGCACTTATTTAGACAACGTCTGTATTATGCACTCCGCCATCTAAATAACTGAAAGGCCAGCACGCTATTGCTCTGCGCTGTAATTTCTTGGAAAGACCGACCTTGTATTTGCACCTGCTATGGAGTTGAAGCTAAGTAAATCATCTAGCTGATGCTGTACCACATTCAGTTGTGCTGGTAGTTGTAACATGTAATACCAATCCTGTGTTATAGTAAAATTGTGCGGAGATCTATGGTAGCCGGGGGCCGAGGAACACGCATTAATCAGAAATACAAGAGGGAGGTGAAAGAACGGTATCCACAACTTCCCTCAACCTTCTGATTACCCAGTATGCACACATCGAAGAAAGAAATAATAATATAATAATCTACAGCGATGAGCAAATCGAGGATCTCGCCGAGCATGAGACTTGAAGTGCGAAATTCACTGTATTGGAAATTGACATTTGTCTTCAATTTGAATATGACATCAACAAGAATTTTCAAGGGTGTCGCTCTAGCTCTCGGCATCGTGACTGCAGTCGTTGAAAGTGGAGTCATCGCGATTGCAGCGATTTTTATCTTCGGATGGTCTGTGCCAATATCACTCATATGCGGGTATGGCTTGAAAATTAGAATTTCGTGAAGAGCTTTTATGAGCCAATATTCAGTGTTGTACTCGCTGCCATCTCACCGGCTGTTACTGTTCCGGTAATGCTTGACCTGCAAAATCAAGGACTCGGTACACGAAAGGTAAGTCAGTAATTGAATTAGCGAGATGTTTTTTTACTTCCACTGGAGAGTCCTCCGAAGTGCAAGGCAAATCCATCATGTACTAGAGGTTTTCACTGTAATTCTTCATTATCTCTCATTTAATTTGAGCTAGCAAAATCGGTGCCTCGCCCCTCAATTCGTGGTCTAAATTGATACGGAAAATGCAAACTTTGATGCAACCAGTTTTTTACTCTCTCCACATGTCATACTGTTTCGCTAACCTTTCTAGGTTGATATTCATAGCCTGCTCTTAATTAGCACTCGCAGTCAGCGGGATCGTACTTTTCTTAACAATGCAGATGCATACTGGTACGCGTGAGGGGGGTGTATGGATGAATGGCAGAGTCATCTCTCAATAGTTTTGGAATAATAGATGCTTGATATCATAATCTTCCACTGTAATTCGCTACTTCTGGCAGGGCAGTCGAGAGATTGTCTGCCTACGAGGAATCATTTTGAATATTGAAACTTACAATGTTTCGAACACTGTTACCATACGAACTCCGAATAGTTCACAAAGTGAGCAAAGAGCAGCCAACTTACTTTTTTAGTAGCCGATCTCCGCCCCCCCCCCCACCCCCACCCTCATCGCAGTTCCAACCAAGTATGTTCAGGGCATTCCAACGCTTGCGCTCGCATCGGCCACCCTCGACAATGTGTTCTGCATCACGGCGTTCTCCGTCATCACAACGATAGTGTTTTCTACAGGTAAGCTTAAATCTTATTGAGGGCTAGCGATCAAAGTAGATTGCTGCAAAAGGGTAGAGGGTTTAAAGGCATGGCTTTGACTTGGCAACTGCTACGCCATACTTTTTGTATTAGCGCCTCACCATTCAGGAAAAAAGTTAAACTAGCAGATCGTTTGATAGTGTCAGCTTTTGCAGATGCCATCAGCACTATGGAATTCCCATTAGTTGTGAAACCGCATTGCTTGACATTGATCTGCTTTTCATCACATAAATATGTAGTGCCTTTCAAATAATTCTCAACGCTTTTAGAGACTATTCGTTTCGGACGGTTCGCACCAGCCTTTTTCCCTCAGTTTTGTGTGAGAAAATGTAACAAGACATTTTCGAATGTAATAGAGCAAGGATTCGAGGTCGAGCTAACCACATTCAACGAGATCTGTTTACCTAGGGACGCGTTTTGTGACGCTAGTCTTGAACCTGTTTTCCCAACCTGCCGAGTAGTTCTTGGAACGGAGTTGTTAGATTGGGAAAAAAGTCCTGCAACACCTTCTACAACTTTTTTCCTAAAATATAGGAAGGGAACATTTATGACCAACAAATGGTAGATTTACAAGCCTTCCACCCAATGGGTGGACACGCGCGCTGCAATCAGTAATTATCCGAGTATCCAAGAGCTTGACCACTAGCCAATCTGTACGCGGAGTCATTGCCCACTCCAAATACTCCATGACTGAATTCATGTAAAGACCAGTATTATCCGCAAAGGCTTCAACAGGAATCTCTTCAACCGCTGCAGCGTGTCTCTATAAGAGGCTGGCAGTGCCTCTTGCTCTTCATTAGAGGTAGAGCAGTCAGGGAAGCTTGGCTAGAAACTCTTTATGGGCACCATTGTGGAGGTAGTGGGCCCCGCTGCAGAGTTGCAGAAGATGGCTGACAGCTTGTCAAAAATGCTCGTATTGCGACAATGTTCATTTTCTTGTGAACTGCAAACCACCATGTTCCGAAAGAAACCACTAAGAAATTCAAGAGATTCAGAAGCTGCGACGGTGTTTCTAACCCCACATATCGTATTCCTCTGGTCACGTCCTTAACGGTTACCACCTGCACCGAACATTATCCTCATGACGAAGTAAATGTTGGATTGATAAACGAAAATTGGAAAAACTTTATAGGGACTTTTTCCAACCCAACGTCAAGGGTAATGCCGCAATAGTGGTCCAGGCTCACACCCAAGAGTAAGTGGGATCGATTCATCTGCTATCCCGCAAATTTTTTCTCTCCTGCAACATGACTGTAAACACCTTACCTACGTTATTCCATTTGGGTCATATTATGCGAGAGCGTTGTACAAAGTGTTAATCTCTTCTGAAAAAAAATTCACAGCGCCTTCAGAGGAGAATCAGCGTTCAAAAACACATCTCATAATTTTAACTCATTGAATGTAACCAGGTCAATTGAGGATCCTTCCAAAGGGCGGAGTTAATTATGACCGGCATTCAGCTTAGTAGGAACTCACTCTTAAACCAAGCAGACATCGATTTGCCCATATGAGATTTAGGCGAAGGTCTAAAGTTAGGATCACGAACTTTTTTTACATTTTTATTTGCAGAACCGTTAGCTGAATTAATCGGTATCACGATAGCACAGCTGGTAGCCGGTGCGTTCATTGGAGTTGTTCTTGGTAAGTTTCCAAACTGGAAGAAATTGTCCACGAAAACTCACTCTCAAAGTCGCCATTCTTGAATAATTTAACATTGATGCAGCACGAAATCAACTAAGGAAAGGTATTCGAATACGAAGTATGAAAAGGGTTTCCTGATAAGCAGCAATCGTCATGAGCACTGAACGCGTCCGCTTTTTTTTTGAAAAATTTGAAAAGCTCTATAGGGTGAGCTCCTCACAATCACCAGGTTCTTTTTTTTTCCTCAACGCAAATTTCTGAAAACGCGAAGGATCTCACGTGCTCTAGAGCGCCGACAAGCATCTCTGTGATTCATAGGCGTGAAGCTTCCATGGCGTTTTCCCTCGACCGTTTCGTTAAGCCATCAGAACAATCACCTTTATTTAGGCTGGATCTTATGGTGGTTCCCAATTTCTTACGTCAACAACAGCTCCGTGTGTCGGACACTTCTTCTTGCCACCGTACCGTCAGCTTTTGTACTAGGTAAGAAACGTAACGTAAGCCATAAACGGCGAGGATAAGCTGCAGCTTTGAATATCCCGCTAATACCCGAGCTCCGAGCTCAGGTTTTACATGAATTTCGATAAAACTCAAAACTAACAAGAAATTTATCATTGCTGCAGAGACAGGACCGAAGATGAGCTTAGTTAAGCTTATTAATGGCACAAATATGCAATTACGTTTTTGTCTATCACCTCTAAAATATGTGCGTCTCATGATTTGGTTGGTGGATGCGTTGCGTGGTTATGTAATTTTTCTCTCTTCGTCATGTGTTCAGTGACACACATGAAGGGATTTTCACGTTTTGAGTTTCAGTTTCAGTTTTCAGTTTCCGCCATAAAGTGTCGATAGAGAGGGGAAGCAGGGTCTACAAATTGAAGTGTTCAGCGGCATTGCTTCGTGAAATTTGTAGTGTCATTTTGCGAATGTAAGGAGAATTTTTTATATATGGGAAGGTTTTTACGAGTCGTTTCTCGACTGAAAAAGTCGAACTTGCGCGGTTGCATTTTCAGCAGCTATAATAGTACATCATACACATGTAATACTTCGCCCAACGACGAGATTTCTGAATCTGGGGGCAAACAATCTGTTCCAAACGTGCATGACGGTTGGAAGTCATAAGCGGACATTGAAGCAACCCAGAGGGCTCTGCAAAGTGCAACTAACTCTAAATATGCTTAAACGCAAACCTCGGGAATAAACCGAGGCAGTGAGCGCTTCATAGTGATAACGACCTGAAAGTGCGAGGAAAGCACGAGAAATCCTTGGAAACGCTGAAATCAAGGCCTTAATCTTCAATAGTATGTGGTACGATGGCGAGACAGGGGATCGATGAAGCCAAAACGCGCGAGAGAGCTTTCGTTAGAGAGAGCTCGCTGATTCCTTCAGTGCACGCTGATCTCACCATCTCTCGCGGTGGGTGGGAAGCGTTGCAGCGGTTGTCACTGTTTGCAGGCCCGTAAGGATCGGCGCCGTAACCGCGCAATTTTGTGAGGAAGCTGGAGTGATCTAGGTAGGGACGGAACTTGCAATTTTTCTTATCTCTTCTACTAGTCGTGCTAATCCCTGCGTTTGCCTTGACCATTGGATCTTGCAATGAATACAGATCACGGAACTATTGAGATTCTACTGAAACTTGACCTCTCTTCTTCTACCAGTAATTATCCGTTTACTTGCTTGCGACTTACTAGTCGCAATGAAGCTATGACAAGCCGATTATTTGGCGTTGCACTGCAAGACAGAATTTTTGCTGCACTTGAAATAACTATTCATGTCACTCTCGTACTTGAATGAAAGGGGCTCTTTTATACACACACACCCACTAGATCTTCGACACCACCTGAAATCGCGTAAACGTTAAAAAGATGCAACTCCGTACCTTTATAGATCCAAAGGAATAGTTAAGGACATGCACAGTACGGGAGGCTTTTGAGCGGACCATACTCCGGTTTGAAAGCTAGCCTTATATATGGAGCCATCTCTCGCGTGATTGACAGGCACTCTTCCCTCCGTTCTTTTTTGGATTCCTGATATAGATCCAAGAGGACGTTTTGCGCGAGGCAATTTGAGGTCTTGCGTTGGCGGAGAAGGATTCGTTCTTTTCAAGACAAATAGGGTTCCGGCGGAATTAATCTTTCATCTGGATATTGACTGACATAGTTATGACCACTCAGGTTGAACTGCCTTGCATACCGTGTTCGTTTCTGACTCTGCCCAGCCACGCCAACCGCAAGCCCATCAGTGCATCGTCATCTCAGTGGAGGGGGTTGCCTTTCGTGATTCCTGTAAAGGGACCAGCACTTCTTGCCGTATAGCATCGCAGGCCTCACTTTCCGGTACATTTTACCTTTAAGGGTCGCGTGCGTCATGAGCGTACTCTTCGGTGTCCACATGACATCAAACTCGCTAACGTCAAACACTTTGCAGTTCGTACTTCCGAAAGCCCCGTTAGACGACGAATTTCATGAAATAGCCTTTGTTGTAAGCTGATGTACAAATTGCCGATTTGGAGGGATAGATGGTTCGTTCAGTGTGCTCACGGCTCGTCTGCCTGTAGACAAAACAACACAGGGTGACAATCCCTTACTCAACGATATGCCTTACATTCCACCGTACCCCCCTGCGCATTTGATTTGGTTATACACTGTCATAAATAAAAAAAACTTCTTTGTTGCCAAAGTGCTTCTTCTCTCCGGTAGGATTCCGGTTTTCTGAGCCCAAAAGTGCACAGAAAGGCTAATACTAAAGGCGAGTTCACGATGAAAAGGCAGCTCATCAAAATCAATTTGAAGCTGGTCTATTATTCATGAATGGAAAAAAGCAAGAAAAGAGACTCAGAATCTCAAAAAGGCCCCCCCCCTGCTGTTGGTTTCCGTCATGCCAATCTCATCACTGCACCCTCATCAACTCTGCTAAACGACTTGAGCCAGATGGCGAAGGTCTTTCTATCGGCAAGCGTACAGAGGCGCGAACGACGTGGGTAGGGACTTCCTGGGCCGTTGGAGCATGCCCTTCGTTGCAAAAAACGAATCGTCACGCACTCTCAAGACGGTCTCCTGCTACTTGCTATATTTCCCACATTTGTTCTTCTTCCACCTCTAAAAATGTCGTGGAGTTCTCCTTTTAATTGAACCAAACACTCACCACTGATGGTTCCTGAAGCAATTCAAATCTGATGCGCGTGATGCTGAAGCCCTCAACTGTATCACCATGTAAATATTTTATTTTATTGCAACTTTACGGCTTAGTTGTGGACATGTCATATATGAGGGGAAATAATACTATATTACAATATCTAGAAATAAATATTAAGGTGGAAGCGTCCTCGGCTTCCTTAGCGGTGGAATCGCTGCTGCCGTGCTGATCACATTCGTGGCCGGAATCCGATGGAAGACTGATAACGATGACAAGGTAGGCAAGTCGACGGTCTTTGATGAAATAGAAATCCCAAAACTTTTACAGATTGTCTACGAAGAGAAAGCGTTTGGTCTACTTTGGGACCTCTTCTTCATGCCACTGCTGTTCGCGTTGATTGGCATGAAGCTCGATTTTTCAATGGTATTATTTCACTCAGAAGTTTCGGTTGCAGTAATAATCATTCAATTTGTTGTAGATGACATGGCCCACAGTGTTGATTGGATGTGCCCTGATCGGCATCGGAGCTGTGTTCAGATTCCTTTCGGGAATCGTTTTCTCTTGCTGCTCCGAATTCAACATGAAGGAGCGACTCGTCCTCGCACTTTCGCTTCTGCCGAAAGCCACCGTTCAGGTGAGCTGCAAATGCTAAGTAATCGTAGATATCAGCAGGGTAAACCGTGCGTTTGTGTAGCAAGTGGAAGGGGTCATAGTGGATTCAACGAGTGAGAGGTAGGGACTCGTAAGAGTGGAAACACGTCTTAAAGCGAGAGATTACGATAGGGTAGTGTTGTGTTTGTAGCGGAAGTGGAGATGCTGAATAATGCCCTAGTAGCGAAAAAAACAAAGAAATCCGTCAGAAACGCGCATAATGGTACCACTTCCACTGCCCGTTGACCTCCAATAGTGGACGAGTTGGCAACCAGCAAAGAGGTTGTGGGCACTCGTTAAACCATAGCTACCATCATACCACCAATCATACCTTGATTGATAAAGCATTCCATTAGAAGGTTATTGGATACGCGCTCGAAGTGGCATACCTTATCAAAATGATAATCGAACAGTGATCTGTTAAGGGGCGGAGCACAGGCCGTGGCGGAGCTCAGAAAGGATTGGCAGCCCCAGGGCGCTGCAATGAGCGCACCTTCAGTCACGAAAAGGCCACATCTCGATTTCCTCGGGCTCTGGCTACTGCTTGAAGTGGTGCTCGTTCTTCCATGCTGCACGGAGACCTTATCGTGATCTCTAGCTTTAAGAAAGATTCTACGATGAACTGGACGTCAAGAGAAAAGTAACATATTATAAATACTACTAAGAAGCGTGCTCCCTAAGGAAACAGAACGACGGCAAACTTCTGCAGTGGGTGGGACCACAGCGCCCTAGCCGTCGTTGTTCGCGGCTCTCCACGCCCTTCAACCGCTAAGCATAACCAGAATTTTGAAGTACTATATCTTATTTGGAGCGGTCGTGTCTTTAAGTTTTTTAGATGATGCCTAATTTTTGATCAAGTGGGAAAATCTACGTGCTTCCCTTAAGATGCAGACCGATACTGACCACCATACATTTGCGAGCCTTAAGTTCAAGTTTCTTACACCAATAATTGGCGCTACGCCTGGCGTTGCACTGTAGGACATATGAGAAAGGCGAAGTAACGACAAATTTACTTCGCAACTTACCCTGGAGGAAGCACCGCAGAAGAATCAAGTGAACCTTTACGATTAGCTCACCATACTTTCAGAAGAAAAAGTGATGAAATTTCTGTGTTGCTTTTGCTTCCGAACCTTTCGTAATACAGCCCTTATGAAGTACGAGTGATGAACCTGTAGGGCGAAATCGTTTGCTTGTTAAAGAGATCTCGAAGCAAAATCGGGTGAGCACACTTATAGGTCTTATAGGTCTTTAGGTTCAGGAGTGTTTGGAAAATTAAGGAGGACACATTTTCAGGCTGCTCTCGCTCCGGCTATTACGGTATATGCTACTGGGATGATGGAATATGAAAAGGAAGCACAAATGGTAACATAGCTTATTAGCTATAGAGGACCGACTGTCTGCATTTTTTCCTGAAAAATAGCAATCATTCAATATAGGTTGAGAACACATCCAAAGCTGAAGTGACCAAAGCATGGCTTTATTCCAGGCGCAAACAGCATGCATCATCACGATTCTCCTCACTGCTCCGTTGGGTCACTACATCCTCTCAAAAACGGCTCCAGTGCTGTTGCAGAATACTCGCGTTGTTGGCGTTGTAAGTGTACCATTTCGATTATGTTTACAAAAAAAATCATAAAAAAGCAGCACAAGCAACAAAAATGGGACTTGGAGTACATGTTACACATTTGCTTATACTTCAGAATTAATAGTCCTATTGGATGAATGCGGTAAAGCCATTGCAATGGCTTGCGAGAGCCACCTGATGTAAAGTCTGGTCTGGAAAGTCAGAGTTTTCACTTTCCAGACTAGACTTTACGCGAGACGGAAGGCTTGCATTACCATGAGCTGACCACGGCTCTACTGACAGTTCAAGCCACTTCACTGCTGCTTCTGGAGTAACCTTTCGATGAAACCTCATCCCATCCAGTGATACAGCGATTTAACGAGAGTCGAAGGCTCTAGAGGGGGCAGCTGCTGTGGAACATTTTGGACATCGTAAATCTCGCCAAACTTAGATCCGTGACCTTTACTCACTTATCCTCCATTATGCCGGATCTCCTCACAAGTTTACAGTCGCACATCTTCCTGCAATGGAGGATATTTCGTAAGCTTTATACTGTGCATTTCAAAAGTATAATATAAGGACATCCATGGAAACCTGTTCCGGTTAGTATGAAAAATCCATGGCTTGGTACTGACCTCGTTGAATTCACCATGCTGTGAAACTTTGGACCACTCTGTTTCAAAACGAGATTTAAACGTTTTTATAGGACAACTTCAAAATACCTCCTGTTTCAAAATTATAAAGGGCACACTGTGCAAGAGGACTTTAACGTTAAAGTTTGCTCCGTCTGTTAACTCATTCGCGATTCGATGGACATATTTTGTAAAAGCACAACAAATCTAATAGATCTGAACAATTAAAGCATTTTACCAAGGAACAAGATCGTGTGAAGAACAAGTGCATCATACCTGCTCAACGTGGTCGATTTCTGGATGTATTAACATTTTTTTTACAACAAATACAGCTTTACATGAAAAAAAAGAACAGAATGTAAGCTGCATGAGCTCCTGCTTTCCGCATTCAAAATTACCACCTGGAAAATTCTAACTCACTCCAGTTATTGTGGGAGGGCTCGTGGTGGAGTCGCCCTGATTGAGTGACTGAACAAACGGAACAAAAAACCCACTTCAAATTGGCTAGCAGGAACATGAAAACAGACCGAAAATCAACAGGTCAGGAAAGCACTTCCTTCAAGTGACTAATCAAGGTCTTTTGAATTGGAGTCAATTTTTCTTGAAACAGGCTGCATGGATATCTCAGGTGAAAGATCCATCCCAGAAAAAATGTATTGGTCTTCAGCCGGGGGAACTTTGGTAGCGGATCCCATAGGGTCTGGGGTACTGTTTACCATTGCTTAACTCTCTTGCAGTTGACATGTAGCGCGAGCTCCAGCGACCATGAAGATGTTCTTGCTGATCATTTACTCTCGTTCCTTAGTGGTCTTTCCTAGATTTTCGTCCGCACTCACTACAACGCCGTCATCCACTAATCCGGCAACTGCATCTTGCTATCAACAGAATCAATGTTATAGATTGGTTCGCATGCAGCTGGGACCTAAATACTAGGTTGGAAAGGAAGTTCTGCAACACTCTTTCTAAAATTTTCTTTTTTCTGAAAAATTTATAGGTAACTTTTATCACCAGGAAATGGTGGAGCATTCTCGAGGCTTCGATCCACTTGGTGGATATAAGTGCTGCAGTCAGTAATTATCAAAGGAAATTCCAAAATCCTCGACCACTAGTAAATCCATACTCCGAGTCACTGTCTAGCACAAACGTCTCCATAACTATGGATTATATCAAAGACCAACACTATCTGCAGTAGCTTCGATACGCATATCGTTAACCGCTGCAGTGTGTTTCACCTTTATCAGCGCTTTCGATCTTTTGATATTTTTATACGGAGCTAGCAGCGTGCCGCACATTCTACTACGGGTAGGGCCCTTACGGAAGCTCGACTAAAAATTCTTCGTTATGGGCACCATTGTGTAGCTAGAGGTCTATGCCGCGAAACTCCAGAAGTTGGTCGAGGCATCTCGTCAGAAGCCCTCGTACATACTTCGACAATATTTAATTCTCTCATGACATTGCGAATCACCCCGATCCGAAATGAGCTCGGTAAGAAATTCTGGATCTGCGGCAAGATTTCTTACCTCTCTTACGTATTCCCCTGATCAAGCCATAAATGACTACCAACTATCCTAGACCTTAAACATCATCTTGATGATGAAATAATAGATGATCATTTTCAACTCGAAAGTGAGGTCGTCACCTTTCTCAACCCGTACTCCGCTGGGTTTTGGCGAAGAAGCATCGAGAAATTTTCTGAGCACTGGAGACAAGTGTTGAACACTCATGGTAGATATAAGACCGGTCAGGAATTGTAACCAAAAAAGATAAAATCAAAATCAAAAACTTGAAAAAGTGTTGCAGGATGTTCTTTCCAACCTAATACTATTGAAAACATGTAAGGAATTATTTTGACACAGATTTGCGCTGGTAGAAAGCAGTAAAATATTGAGAAAATATTATATAATGGAAGAAATGCGATGTGTTAGCAAGGCATCGTGGTTCCATCTGAATGCTCTCCTCAGTGGAAAGCTCAAGTCGTCCATGGGGAGTTAGTATACTTTCAAAGCATGCCCACAGATCGTAAGTGAGTTAACAGGAAGAACAGCTTCATTGCTGAAGTCCTCTTGATCGAGGTGCCTTTATACATTCGAAACGGGGGAACATTTCTAAGTTTGTTATAAAAAAATCTTTGTAACATGTGTGAGATTGCAAGCATGAAACTTTTATCCTGACAAAAACAACTGTTTTCAAGGGTGCTTTTAAACTTTTGAAACGCACTGTACATTTCAAGCAGATATGTGGTACCTATAGCGAGTGCCGCCGTGCTTGGGCCCATGGTCACAGTCTAGCTTGGAAAGAGTCCTGCCCACTCCACGGTAGCCTCCGGTCCATCTACTAGGAACTGTATGCAAAATTCGTATCATAGCCTAACTTCCTTTCAAATCCGGAAAAGTCTGAAATGAAACCGGGGGAGATATCAGTGTGCTTTCATGTAACACTGTAACTGTGAACTGTAACTGTAACTGTGTAACTGTGATTCAGGCGAAAAGCACGCTTGAAGACATGGAATTTGGCAGCAAGGGAGCAAACGGTATTGCTACGACTGTGATCACGAAACGTATCGAGGAAGACTTACGATTTTAGTTTCGTTGAGTAAACTAATGTAAGTTTCTCAGAACTTGTGATGCATTGCTCTCAAAGTTCCCTAGTATTTTAGGCATTGCTCAAGCACCGCTGCCACTAAGGTGCGGTCATGAACACTTAACTGTGAACTGTAACTTAACTGTTGATTCAGGCGAAAAGCACGCTTGAAGACATGGAATTTGGCAGCAAGGGAGCAAACGGTATTGCTACGACTGTGATCACGAAACGTATCGAGGAAGACTTACGATTTTAGTTTCGTTGAGTAAACTAATGTAAGTTTCTCAGAACTTGTGATGCATTGCTCTCAAAGTTCCCTAGTATTTTAGGCATTGCTCAAGCACCGCTGCCACTAAGGTGCGCCCATCACCTCTTCCGCTACATTCAGTGAATAGTTCGTTATAAATATTTTTTTGTTGCTGATATTAGACTACTGACATAGTCATCTAATGAATCACAGTGGAGCTGGAAGCTCGGTCAGCAATTCCTCTCTCCTCCGGGTTAGATGAATTTCTCTTCAGAGAAAGCAGTAATAGTCTCATTTGGGACAATAATCATCTATTGGGTTGGAAAATGGCGTTTTTTTTTCGAGGGTAGAAATTCAATCAGTACAAGCATCACCCTAAGAAACCGCTCATATTTTCTTCGGGAGTACTCTTCCCTCTATGAAAACGTAATTGCCATGTTCTCCAAAATTGTAGATTCACTCCGGTATTGAGCTTAGAAGTTGAAAATCCAGACGGTGAAAATCGGCGTTTTGAAAGCTGCTACTCTTCTATTTCAATACGAGAAAGAACATCAAGTTGAAAGTTCTTGAATCCTCTGTTTCATTTGTTTTAGTCGAACCTTGCTCTAACCGGCCTTACCTTTTTCGCTCAAATTGAAACCATATTCATTTCGTGCACATTGCAAATTATAAGGACTTTGAGTGCAGGTTCATTTCTAAATTCTACATCCGGTGATCTGCTGCGAAATGCAATCAAAGTTGTAAAAAATGACAAAATGAACATCTTTGATTAGTTCTGTGTTTTCAATTTTCGAATTTTTGTGTGAAGAAGTGAAAAATGCAATCGCTGGGACTTTGTTCTCCAACCCAATAGTTAATGGCAGTTGTATCCTCTGCCCTTTGATTTTAGCTGATTGCTCCTCATCTTCAATTTGCTTTCTTATGCCTTGACGTGGTCCTGACCTTTTGTTGACTGTATTAAACACCGATAATAAATCATGAATCATAAATCTTGATTTGTTCCACAGTAATGCACTCATAATTAATTATCCTTAATAAATACTATGTATGTCTAATAATCACCCGAGAACTGTTAACTCTCTGGATAAGTAGAAGCAGATGTTCTTCAAGAGAAGATTGGTGCGTGTTAGGAAGCAGAAAACGCTCTATTCCGTAAAGATGCACTCGCTCCTCTACAAAAACTCTTTGAAGGAGGTTGTGATTGCCCGCCCAAAAACCCGACGTTACTGCTCGAAACCCAAGAGAAAAATACGAACGTGTGACGCTCCAAAATGAAATATGAGAAAGATTCAAGCCTTATCAGAAAGCTCACTTCCCGTTCTTTCTTGCCATACCAGAAGTTTGATACAAAAATGAAAAACAAGAAGTATGTGGACGCTGAAAGCCCAGAAACTCGCATTTTCAGATAAATCGATCGGTAAAACCAGCCGTGAAGTGCAAACGCGTGATTGTTTAAAAATTTAATCTTGAAAAATTACGTTATTAAATTGCATTTCGTCATACTGGCACACCAAAGACAATTGCTGCGTGACGGTTTTGTATAAAAATATCTGAACAGCAAATTACATAACGCTAGAAAGCGCATTCCGCATTGTGTTTTCATTCCATGCTGAAAGTTTGCCACAGAAATGAAAAATATCGTCATCATAGCCCAATAACACTCGTTTCAAAAAAGGTAACAATTACAAAACTTTCGGTATCCTCTGACTAGAACAGTATTTGAATTTCCTAATTTTTTCAGCTCTTCGAGAACATTTAACCGACGTTATGACCTTTGGAGGTGCGCCAACTGCCACTCGCAGAAGCACTTTCAGGCTCTTGAAGTAACCTAAGTAGTTTTCTGGTAGTGACCCTTATGCAAATCCCAAATGTACCTGAACACTTAGAAACTGCTCGCTCCCAAGGGAGTGTGTCCCTTTAAAATATTTTTTTTCGCTCCGTTCCCTCACCGCCTGGCACTCTGCTTTGATTCTTCTTTCTTCTTCTCATCCTTCGCTTTTCCTGTTCTATTTTTGTATACCTATGATGAATTGTACCTAGGCATATATATATCCTACCTAATATAAAGCGCTTCGTCTGTCGTTCTGTCTGTCTCTCTGTCTGTCGTTCTGTATGTCTGTCACGAAATTCCCTAGCTCCTCGGGATCCACCTGGAGGAACCGGGTCAAGTGTGGGATGGGTGGGCAGGGTCTCACGTAATACAAAACACACATCAGCTAAGCGGAGCCCCGCCCACAGAGGGCGTGGCGTGCGTCGAAATGAGTTCTACCGAAGACCAAGATTTCGATTTCAGTGACAAAACGACCTCGAAACTGGGCCAAAAAGTGAGTTAAGGTGTGCATTGGTAAGTCACATCGAATTAGGGAGACCCACCCCCGGTGGGTGGGGCGTTCTCCAAAAAAGCAGTGCTTCATGATAAATTTCATAACTCGGTTGGGAGAAAGCTTACAGAGCAGAAAACAATTTGATGTAAGGGAGCAATGTCTAAGGTGTTTCCTGCATACATGACGTGAGCGCAGGCCCGCCAGAATGGGCGGGGCGCGCTCTGAAGTGTACAGCATTTTCTACAAGCCCTCATAATTCGGGTCGGGAAAGTCTTAAAGAGCCGAAAAAAGGTGGATAGAGGTGTATGGAGGAGTGGAGGCCAGCTGACATCGGTGGGCGGGGCTTGATCAAAGTGGGCGGAGTTTGCGGCGGAAATTCATAACCCGGCTCCATGAAGCTCCGGAGGCCGGGAAAAAGGTGGATTGAGGTGGGTGGAGTAGTGGAGGTTAACTGTCATCGGTGGGCGGGGCTTGGCCAAAGTGGGCGGAGTCTGCGACGAAAATATAAAACTCGGCTCCAACAGGTCCCAGAGGCCGGGAGAAAGGGAGTAGCCGGCAAAGGAAAGGAGGTCAACTGCTATTAGTGAGCGCAGCATGCACATAATTGAGCGGAGTTTGCCAAAAGTGTCGTAATTTGGTTCCAAGAGGTCCCAGAGACCGGTGAAAAAAAGGGGTAGAGGTCGGCGAAAGGAAGGGGCCAAATGCTATTGGTGGGCGGGGCACGCACCGAAGTAGGCGGAGTTTGCCACGAGATTTATTGTCCGGAAGCTGTCCGGAGATCGAGAAAAAGAGGATAATGGTTGACGAAGAAAAAAAGGTTGAAAGCCGTCGATGATGGGGGATAATTTAACTGAGGATCCAGATATTCGTAGTGTATCAAGCCAAATTTGAAAATTTTTGTCGCACCGTCGAAGTTCGCAGCAGATCTGTGTTGCGCGCGCAATGCGTGCGGCGCCAACTTTATAGATATAATATATATATATATATATTATAATATATATTACACTGCGTCGCAAAAATATAAATCCACCTGGAAAAAAATCTTGAAAATCGCATGATAGGTTTTCTGAAAAAGCCTTTGAAAAAAAAATGCTCAATATAAATATAATTCGAGTGTAAACACAACTTCCATTTGAAAACACGAAAAAATTTTTATTCTCATTTTCGGAAAAGGACCACTTTGCCGATTGTGCAAAAATATAAATCCACCCATGTTTCTCGGTTAAACTTCATTGTTATTTGGCGTAACTGTTCAGGGCGTAGTAAAGTGCCATAGACTGGAGTCAAGGGTGAGTGGAACTACGGCCTTTAACGGCGAATAATGAAAGGCAAGATAGTGAGATGACCCTGGTGTGAACGGCGAACTTCAGTATGTGGTATCAAAACTCACATCGCCCATGGACTGAACCGTGTAACGCAGCGTCATCGAGCGCGACGCTGACACTGCCACACAAAGCACTGCTGGGTTCACTTTGAAAGAATTGTAAATGCAAGTAGTAACCTGAGAGGGTCGCAAAACCTTGGGTTTCGAATGGAACTGGAAACGATCCTATGTCCACAAGGAACGAACCCGCCGCCGCCAATCGACCTGTTAGGTGGAGACCATTCCATTTAATTGTTTAGAGGTGAAATTCTCCCATGACCAAAGAAGGGGCTGTAACACAATCAATAAGTGGAACAATAATGGGACATCTGGGGACACCTTATTGGCAGAAAGTTCACATATTATCGATAGCTCCGGTCGCTTCTCAACAACCTATCACCAATCACCCTTCTTCTCTTCCTCTGCGACATGGCAGGGATGCAAACAAGCTCTCACATGACGTGCAGAGAAAGGAGAAAGTGCATGGTGATTGCAGAGATCACTAAATGTACTCAGGGGTACATCACTGTCGCCCTCTACATGACCCTCTGCGATCTTTGCGTTCTCCACGCTCTTTACCTTTTCTCTGCCCAGGTTCGCCGACTAGCGTTAGGTGCCACCTAGGACATTGGCCACTTGGGATGCGGCCCAGACCTCGCCCACTGCGGCACGTCAGCGCGAGTTTCGCGCCTTTCCCATGCTTTGCGTGGGGGACGAAGGCGCGCACTGTGTTACCTATGGCCAACTATAGACTGGCCATTTAGGACACTTTACTACCGTCCCAGGTTGTTTCCACTTCCTGTTTCTTAGGTGATGGCTGAAGTAACACCGCTATCGGACTCCGAAAAAAAAGCGAAGTCTGCAAAAGAGTGGGGAGATTTGCCATGCAGACAAATCGCGCGTGATTTGAGCCCCGCTTATGTGGTCGTTGAGCATTTCGTCGCGAATCCTGCAGCATGTGGAATCCAGAAGAGCAGTGAACCCTTTCTTCGCGTTTCGGTTGCGATGACCGTAGTGTTATGGGAAAAGCACCCGATTCTCCCAAGGGCTGCTCAGGAACTCAACCTTA